TCGTCAAATGTATTGGAAAGTACTCGCCAGTTGAAGCTCTTTCATCCTATATATGATTGTGCTGGATATAGTATGAAAAGTCCAATGGGCCAAATTACGGTCTTATGCGCCCCCGTCCTTTAGTCAAAACGAGTTAGTAGACTCATGTTTATTTTTCTCATTGTCTTTCGTTCATTGACCATTGGGTGAGAGACTTGATACTCACATAAAAGCTTTCTGAATATTTTAACAGTCTTTTTCAAGAATTATATACAATTCTTTTATTTATTTTCAAAATAGTTTTTTTTCTTTCGTCTTTTTTTGATATAAAATCGGTTACAATAGCATCGGTATCAATTTGATACTCTTTTTCTGCATTTATTAATGCTAAAGATGTTAATCGTTCTTGTCCAGTTGTATTTCTAATATGCGTTTTGATTCTTCTTAATGATGAAAAGCTTCTTTTGCAACCACACACATTAGTAGGTATGGTCCATAAAATTTTCAACAATTGATTCATTGTTGAAAGTGATAGATGAATATTGTGTTGCAGGAAAAATTTTGTTGCTGTTGTTAAATTCCATTGTTGTTTTTCATCAAGTGCTATTTTATATAATCGTTGTTTTGCTCTTAAATCATCCTAATTGATATTGTAAAAACGAGCTATTTCTTTTAATTCATCTTCTACCATAAATACTTTATTCAGGAATAATTTTTCACATAAAACTATAATATGTAAATAATTTTCATCGGATCTTTCTTTAATAGATGCAACTATAATATCTAAAACTGCATAAAATGAATTAATACGATATTCATCTTGAACTGTTCCATTAACTGGATTAATATTATCACCTCCTAAACGTAATGAAACCTTTCGTTTTCGACGTTCATGAGGTTCATCAATATAATTAGCTATACAGATTTTCATTGATTCATTTCATATTCTTTCAAATTCATGTTCATTTCGTAAAGTTTGAAGTGAATCAATTGTTATTCTAACTTGTTCTATTGTATTAGTTGAGGATATATTTGCACGTGCT